CTTGACTCCATGCATGTATCTTGGCTTGGCCTATAAATTTCCTCTGAAGGTGGGCAAGATGCAACATACAAATGACCAAAAATGAGTGGATTTTCTGCATAACTTTAAATAATTTTAGATTTTGTGTACTGATGATTTAGCTCTTAAGTGACAAATAGAAAATCGGATTTGATACTCCACTTTCAATTATATGCTTGATTTTATGCTGCTTTTATTTAACTATTGTAAGCCAGTGTTACTCAGTTCCCTTAGAAAAATAGGAATATATGCATTCACTAAATTTATAGAAATTGTCCATCAATTCAGTCCGCTCATTAAAAATAGTAATTACTAAACATTCATCATGTGCATAATACATCAACAAGTATAGAGTTTCTCAGTTGATTAAACCGTAACATTAAATTTCACCCTTCCACATACAAAATTGATGTGCTTTATTTTCCAGATTGCAGAAAGAACAAAATACTCAATAGAAATTTGTATTTTCAAGTTTCTGCTGGTGTAGCTAAGCAATTCCATCATAATGTGAAGTGTTGCTGCCATCTACAGCATGAAAGACTTATTAAACGTGTATATTATCAAGACATATGTAACTAGATTTTAAAAAACAAGACCTGTTTAAGTTTTTTATTAGTCTTTCTATGTATTTTCTACAGCTAGCTTTCAACACAATTAAAAATATGATATATTTTAAAACACTCAATGTATTTAAGAACATAATATAGGTGCCAAAATGAACACTGACATTTTATTTTGTTATTTGGTTAAGCCTAAATTAATTTTGAACAGGCAATTAAATGTTAGACTAAAATAGCCTTTATGATTTAATGATACTGGAAAATATTTTCTAAATATTTTATGTTTAATAAAGTTTTTTAAATGAATTACTCCAATATAATGTAAACTTTTTCTCAAAGTATTTTTTTCAGGCTTACACTTGCTCTATTATATGGAATAATAACCACAAAGCTAGCCACAGAATAACATCACAGATACACTATCAGTGGATAAAAGATTTAAAGTTGTTTATATGTTGCCTTTCTAAATAGAAATAGTACACAATATTGATGAGAATATTAATTCAGTTCTTAAAGGAAAAAAAGCACCTCTCGCCTAGTTTTTCGATTCTCATTTTATTTTATTTTAAAAGTTCTTTCCTTCTGCCATTTCCTGCCCACTCATATTCTTCATTCTAGACGGTTGACAAAAAGCTAACAGTTCTGTAAAATCTGACAAGCCACTTAACCTTTCTGGGAATTGATTTTTTTTCATCTGCACTTTGGGCTTATAATGTGTATCACTGGTATTAGATGAGAAGCATATGTAAGAAGTCTAGCCCATGTCTCATAATGCTCATTAATATGTTTTAATTTTGTTTATTTTTAATAAACAAAATATTTTAATTTTGTTTCAATTTTAATTTAATTTTGTTTTAATCTTATGTTTTAATTTTGTTTCGGGCAAAATATCAAATTTTAATATTTGAAACCTCTTATAGTTTCATTGTAATTGTTCTTAAAAAATACATTTATAATTAAATAAAAAATGTCTTGAAATGCATTTTCAATAATGCTGATAATAATACTTGACAGTCATAAAAGAGACTCAGTCAGCAAAAGCTACTATTTTTTCTATTTCTTTAACAAGATTTAAACATTAAAAAATGTATATATATAGATTCCTTAAATTATTAAATTAAAATTATATAAATATGTGATGCCTAAATTTAACACCTGGATAGTTAGAATGAACCACAATGTAGTATACAATTCCCACCTATTTTTAATGTCAAAAATTTCATGGCATAAGAAATCGAAAAAATCCATTTACATTTATTTAAAGAAATTTTATTAGAAAGAATTTTTCCTTTTAAGGTAAGCAAAACACAGTGTAAGGAGAAAGAATAAAAATTAAAGTGTATAGAAAGGAAAAAATGCTTAATTTAGAAAGTCAAAATATGATAAACAATAATTTTATTTCCCCTTATTTTAGCAATTAAAGAAACTATAACATAAAACTGCCAAAACAAGAATAAGAGTAAATTATGAAGTATTAAACAATTGTTATTTCTTCAGTTCATTTTCATTTTGAAAACAAAATATAACAAATCTAAAAATAATATGCCCATAAGCCTCTCATTAAGGCTCAAATGAATCAGAATTTCAGTGTGCTGTTATATATGCTGTCTGGGGTATAACCTTATTTCTTCAGATCTCGATCCAAACTTCTTTTTTGTAAAGAAGTCTGATTTATCTCACAAGTTTTAGCTTCCTTCCTTCAAGATATTGCGGGATTGAAAAGATATCGTTTGATTCCCCCTTAATAGCTGTGGATTTTCTCAGACTGTTTCCAAGTTTGAATCCAGTTTCTAAAGAATTTTCAAAGCCCCCAGAGGATGCTTTGGCCAAATACAGACAAAGTACATAAATTCAGAAGAAAATATTAGTTAAATTATGATCTAAGACCATTACTTCTAGGACACTTGGGGCACAGCTGAGTGGGAAGAAGTGGCCCCCTAGCCTAAGAGAGTCTGACCTCATTAAGCACATTCTGATCTTTTTTTTTCTTTGGGACGAAGGCAGGAAGGGAGGGAAGGAGGAAGGGAGGGAGGAAGGAAGGGATGAAAGAAGGAATGGAGGAAGGGGGGAGGGAGGAAGGGAGGGAAGGGAAGGAAGGAAATCAAGCAATGAGGGAGACATTGCTGACCTGGATCTAGAGGTTTACAAGTTGATTTCTTTTTTTTTTTCTTTTTCTTTTTTTTTGAGAGAAGGAAAGAAAAAAAAATGAGTAAAGGAGAGGAAGAAAGGAAGAGAAAGAGGGAGGGTGAACGGAAATATTGCTTTATTCTGAAAAAAAAAATGGGTATTAAAATGGCCAATCAATGTTTCATTTAAACCTATGAGTAGGTGTGATGTGGTATTGACAAGAATGTATATTTTGTGTATTTGAAGTGGAGAGCTCTATAAATTTTTATTAAGTTTACTTGTTCCAGATCTGAGTTTGAGTCCTTGATATCCTTATTAATTTTCTGTCTCATTGAATCTAAGTCTCTATGTATCTGGGTGTTAGGATTGTTAGCTCTTGTTGTTGCATTGATCCTTTTACCACTATCTCTTTGTTGCTTTAAAATCTATTTTATCTGATATGAGAATTGCAACTCCTGCTTTTAATTTATTTATTTATTTCTGCTCTCCATTTGGTTGGTAAATCTTTCTCCATCCCTTTGTTTTGAGTCTTTGTGTTTCCTTGCATGTGAAACAGGTCTGGATGTAACATGCCGTTGAGTTTTGGTTGTGTCTTTTGATTGGGGGATTTAGTCAATTTAAATTTAGGGTTACTGCCATTTGATGTTAACTGGCTGTTTTATCCTTTCGTTGATGTAAATTCTTCTTTATGTTGGTGCTCTTTGCTTTTTGGTATATTTTTAGAAAGGCTAATACTGGTTGTTTCTTTCTGTGTGTAATGCTTCTTTCAGAAGCTCTTGTAAAGCAGGCCTGATGGTAATAAAATCTCTGAGTTCTTGCTTGTTCATAAAAGATTTTATTTTTCCTTCAGTTGTGAAGCTTAGTTTGGCTGGATATGAAATTCTGGGCTGAAGGTTCTCTTCAAGGAATGGATAATAAGAAACTTCTGTGAGTTAAAAGAACATGTTGTAGCCCAACGTAAAGAAACTAAGAACTTTGAGAAAAGGTTGGATGAAATCCTGTTGAGAATAGACAACTTAGAGAGGAATATAAGTGAATTAATGGAACTGAAGAATACAATACAGAAACTCCGAGAAGTATGCACAGGTTTAAACACTCGAATTGTTCAAGCAGAAGAAAGGATATCAGAGGTCAAAGTCCAACTTAATGAAATAAAACAAGAAGACAAGATTAGAGAAAAAAGGTTAAAAAGGAATGAGCAAAGTCTCCAAGAAATGTGGGACTATGTGAAAAGACCAAATTTCCATTTGATAGGTGTACCTGAATGCGATGGAGAGAATGAATCCAAGCTGGAAAATACCCTTCAGGATATTGCTCAGGAAAATTTTCCTAAACTAGCAAAGCAGGTCAATATTCAACCCCAGGTAATACAGAGAACACCATAAAGATATTCCTCAAGAAGAGCAACCCCAAGGCACATAATCGTTAGATTCACCAGGGTTGAAACGAAGGAGAAAATACTAAGGGCAGCCAAAGAGAAAGGTCAGGTTACCCACAAAGGCAAGCCTATCAGACTTACAGCAGATCTCTCAGCAGAAACTCTACAAGCCAGAAGAGAGTGGGGGCCAATATTCAACATCCTCAAAGAACAGAACCTTCATCACATTCTGATCTTATGCAGCCTCTTCATTCTTTGTTGTGGCTACTCAATTTACTTGTCTTCTGTGCCTCTGTGTTGTGCTCTTGGTTTGGAATGTTCTCCCACTTCTGGGTTTTACCCCACCTAGCTTTTACACCAGCTAGCATGGAAGACACATAGTCAACTCATGGGTTGTTTGTTACCTACTCTCTAGGGGTACTAACTTTCCACCCTAAATAGTATTGAATGCTGCCTTTTTTGTGCCTTTGTGGTACATTATTTTTATTGTAGCACCTGAATTGAACCTGTTTTTAGGAGTGTCATGGCCATACCTTCAGTTTCTTAAAACAAAAATTGGAATGAACTGAGTCTTTATACGAGAGTTCTTAAAGTCCTTTACCTTCCATATTCAATTTTTGTCAATTCCTCATCCTAACCTTGCCTTGCAAGACTCTATGTGATTTAGTCCCTGGTTAATTTTCCTGCAGCAGCTCATTTACTTTCTCTCTTGTTTACTGTACTCCACACTGGCTTCCTGTGTTTCTCCAAATTGTCCAGTTTCTCTCGACTCAGAGGCCTTTGCATTTCCTTTTATATCTGCCTGGAACTCTTTTCCTAAATATTCTTAAGTCTTGCTTCCTTCTTTCTGGTCTATGCTAAAATGTAACAGCAGTTCTATTTCTATTTTGTTACCCTGAATTACTTTTTTTTATGGGTTTGAGCATATAAAATTCTCATCCTCCTAGGAAAGAATTGTTTGTTCACTCTTTGCATTACCAATCAAAGGAGTAACAATCAAAATTAGTATTAAACCTGTTTAATCAACCAATGATTGAATACAAGAGTACACACACTTCTGAAAGACAACCAGAAACATGTCCTTCACATAATTTCTGAAAATCAGAAAATCAGCAATAGCTTTAGTCCAGTGAACAGATTCCTGAGGGTCATCAAATCAGCAAATATTATTATACTAGACATATTTACCGAGCTACAGTTAATACTCCAGCATTTAAACTCCACACTTACCCCAAACCCTATATAATCTACCTTCTTTTCTTATAAATCGTGTCTTGCAAAACCAATTCTCCCTTGCCTGAACAAATAGTAAGTTCAGCTTGTTTTAGATATTGAGTGGTAGACCCCTTTTCAATATTTGTGATTACCTATGGTAACCTTATCATGTTGTTATCTGTTGGTTTATCACCAACTCTATTCTATGTAAGCTCCACAAAAGCAGGCGTATTGTTGCTTTTGTTTACTGCCATAACCTAATGCTGACATTGATGTCTAGTGTAGTATATGCCTTCCACAAATATTTATTGAAGAGTGTTTAAAGCAGGGACAATATACAACTGAGTATAATATCCCCAGTGCCTAATATGGAGACTAGTACATAGAAGTGGTTTCAAAAACATTAGCTAAATGAGTGAATGAATAAGAAAAAGTTCAAGAGATCTACTGTATTCCTGAAAATTGCTAAGAGAGTAGATTTAAGTGTTCTCACCACCAAAAAAGTGGTGAGACAATGCATATATTAATTACCTCAATTTAACCATTCTACAATGTATAGATATTTTTCAATACATTATGGTATACATGATAAATATTACTTTTTTATTGGTCAGTTATTAAATAAATAAAAATGAATGAATGATTAATTTTCCATGTATGATTTAAAACATTTTAAGGGACATCCTTGAAGTAAACTGGAAATAATTCAGATCTTAATGGATCTATATAGTTCTCATAAACTCACTTCTCATTTTAGAAATATTCTAGATGAAAAGATGCCCACTAGCCTTTTTGACATCTCTTTTTGAAAGACATAAAGGCATTCAATTTCAATGACTAAAACTGAACCCATGCTCTTTCCCCCAAATGAGATCCTCTTTTAATAAATATTTCCTCTGTCAGTAAATGGCATAGGCCAGAAATCCTTTCTCCCTTACATTGAAAGAGTAGGTAGGAAGCAACTGGTCAGGCAGTCAGTTAGGGTGGGTCCTCAGGTGGTTTCTTTCAATCAAAAGAACAGCTTATAGGTATAAATAAAAATAACTTGCACAGGAGGGCTTGCCTAAGACATGGCCACAGCTGAATAGATAAGGCAGGCCACACAGGAGACTTGCCAAGACATGTCTGCAATGGAAAATTCTGCCCCCTGACACATGTTCAGTAAGGGGAACAAAGCAATATGGAGTAACTCAACGTAAGGGCCTGCAGGCCCACTATGAAGACAGGGTTGAGCTACCAGAAATTTGTACCTTATGCAAACTAGATACACAGCCCTCATTGGTTTCTTATATAAGCATTTGTATTCAACTGTAAAATGGCAACCCTTTTTGGGGACACCTCTCTATGGCAGAGAGGTTTCTCTCTGTCCTTTGCTTATTAAACTGCTGCTTTAACTTCACCCTTGGCAGGTCACATTCTTGATTTCCTTGACTGGCTGTGAGACAAAGAACTTTGGGAAAAATTAGTTTGTAGTTTAAAAGAGAATAGCCCTTCCCAGAACAAAAGTGCCTCTATGAATCTAATGAAAGCCCACCAGGTTAGAAGGATGAGAGGGGCCTGAATTCTGCTAAGATGTGGGTGTAACTAAATGATGACCAGCCATTATACTGCAAGTCACAAGATTTGCAACTTCCCCAATTACTCCTGTGAATACCATTACTATTGTATAAACTAAGATTGGCTTTTTGAGATGTCTTTTTAGGATTTTGCATTTTAAATAACCAAATGGTCCTGCCCAGACCAGTAACTCCTCTGTGGCTTCCACCTAGAAGTAGACTCAGTGCATGAAAGACCATTTTCCACACCCCTATGTTTGTATCCCCAACCAATCAGCAGTACCATCCTCTAGCCCCCTGCTTGTCAAACAATTTTTGAAAACCATAGCCTTCAAATTTTCAGGGAGGCTGATTTGAATAATAATTGAATCCAGCATCATTCACTCCTTCTATGACCAACTCAAATTGCCATACGTTAGCATCTTGTCCATCTCCTTTAAACCCTTCTTGTATCTGAAATGTTATATGTGGTCTTGTCATTATTGGATTGGAAGCTATCTCATCAACTAAACTGTTAGCACTATAAGAGAAGGGTCTATATATTTGGCATGTAGGAAGAGTTCAATACATTTTTATCTAAATGAATGAATGAATGGGAGGTGTATGAATCTGGTCAAGTTTTCCCTGTACATTTGAGAGTAAACAGAGTTGGAGCCTGTGTTCTGGGATGGTCCTGGGGATAAGGAACAATAGTGAACCAGGAAACAGTGTTGTACAAGTATCAGTCCTGTTCTAGAACTTCATGCTTTTCACTAAAACTCATAAGGTCTTGCTAGTGTCTCATGGATTTATGTTTGGTGGAAAAGGGAAAAGTAGCATAGAAGAGATAAGAAGATCAATTTTACCTTTAACAAGAAAGGAGAGACAGATGGATCTCAGTTTATTGTACTATGCCAACTCAGGAGCTAAGCACTACATCAGGTTTTTATTTAAATGCAGCCAACTTTAAAATGAGTGATATATTCTAAGAAGGATTTTAATTTGTAATGAGTCTCCCTTAGGTCTAATGTTGAATAGCTCTTTCCAATAGTTTTAGGGTTCATTTAATATTTTTTAAAAAAGCCTCCAAAGCAGTTTATCATGGTAAAATGCAGTACTTACAGATGGTATTTTCTTTTCCCGATTCTTGCCCAATGGAGAAAATCTCAGCTGCTGCTCTTGCGACATCCGTTATAAAAATCTTACATTTTAGAAACCAAAAGTAAAGGACAAGAAAAGATAGGAAAGGATTTTCTTTAGGAAGAAAATTTGGGACATGAACCAGGGGTGCTGGGTGGGAAGCAGGGAAGACAGTTTCCCAGGCAGTCTTCCTGATACTGATTGATTTTCCTTTGTTATCATTTCATTTGGTTGCCCCACCAGAAATTTATATAATGCATGGTGCCTGGCATGTTATTTGTCCTCCATTTTATTAGTTAATAAGCATCAGCTTTAAAAGTATAATTTCCTTTAGCTGACTCTGAAAATGATAAATCCCATATACTTTAATTGCAATCGATTAAGAGGAAAGGGAAGGAATGCTGAGCTCTCCTTCACCATCACCACAGTTCTTCAAGGTAACACAGGAATCTCGAGGAGATCTCCAAAGATCACAGTTTAAGTTTGCAGCACTGGCAAACAGGAAAGCTAGACTCCCGTTTATGTCTACTGTACCCAAGACCTTCATTCCCTTCTATGATTGCATTGCTTCCAGCATGAAGGTGATACCAGCTTCACTGAAAAAATAAATGGTATCACTGGGAGAAAAGTTGCATGTGATTTTGAAATACAGTTACAGTTTGGTAGTTGTTACTTAAACTACTCTGCCTCAAGTACAAGATATATTATGGTCGATTGAGGCAATGTACAGTTTCTGCATGCCATAGGAAGGGGTTGTCAGAAAAGGTTAGGGTATAAATAAGAACAAAGAATCTGAAGAATACTGAACCAGAATTTGGGGGAAAGAAGCTTCATTTTTATCTTATACAACATAAAGCCCTTACCCCCGAACCTAGAACTAAATTGATAGTTGTGGGTTCTTTTGGGAACTTAACTACCACCCATAATGGTATTTCTAGGAGATGGTCATCTATCAAATGACTAACTTGACTAATTTAGTAACAGATGTTCAGCATACATTCTTTTTTCTAACTGGGGAATTGCCTGGAGTTTCTTGGAACACACTTATATGTGCATAAAAATGTATAGTATTTGTGTAAGTTAAAAATAGAGCCTACATGGCTACATTGTACCTTGCTTAAAAGAAACTTGCTCTATTTGGAAAAAGGAGAGAATAATTATTGTCATTTATAACAAATTTTCCTCTTGTGTAGGCTTTGGAGACATGTTGATAACTAGTGAATAGTAATCAGGAAAGCTCCAAAAATGTTGAAGTGGAAGATATTAATTTGATTAAATGTACTGTACTCTTTTACTTCTGCATTTGCCTTATGGATTAAGGTTTTATTTATTTGGTTTCCTATGCTTGTTTTTAAGTCCTTGAGTTGTCTGTTTTTCAGAGCCTTAGATCCCTTAATTGATTGCACTTTCATTGCAAATAGACAAAATTCATGCTAGACAACACTGTAGGATTTAGAGGTCTATTTATATGCTTATTTAAATCTCTGGTGTGAGTAGGTATTTACAGCATGCCTTGGTTTGTAAATATTAGTTTCTTTATGGAATGTAACTGTGCCTCTTACCACTAGAATGAATTGAGGCCATCTATCTCCCTCTTCATCTTTAGATATATTATTTACCCAACTTTTAACTTTTCCATTGTAAAGTAACAATATCTCACTACAATAAGATAATTAGTAAACAAAGTATAAAGAGACTACTTTTCAAAAAATGTTTTAAAGACTCAGTCCTTTTGATTAGTAACCAGCCTTAGTACCAGGAAAACTTCAAAGTGTTCTCTAAACATTGAATTTTCATCTGTGATGCTGCAAGCCTTAGTTCTCGTCTTTCATGCTTACCATTGCAATAACTTCAAAAGGATAAAAAGAAAGAATGGTAATCTCTCAAAGCAACCTTGTGGTCAGGCCAGTAATCATGTATTTAGCTATCATGCATTCACAACTATATAATTGCCTCATTAAATTGTGTTTTAATAAATATAATAATTAACTTTTTTTTTTTTTTTTTTTTTTACAAAAACGCAAACAAACCACTCAGAAATGAAATCCAGAGCCCAAGGGATTTCTAGAAGAAAATGAAAAAGAATTAGATAGCGTCAAATATAGACATCTTCAAAGGGAAAGAGATCATTTAAACTTGCTTTTTACTTACTGAAATATGTTCTGCATATTTTATTGCTTTCATTATCTTGCTTGTTATAATCCAGCCAGTGAATGTTCAAAGAACATAAAATCCTACAAGTAAATAAACTGAAAATAAGCGAATTTACAAAAAGACAACAAATAAGATAAAAAGTTTGATATGTAAGCTTTGATTATGTAAAGCAATTGTATTTCCATTGGTGTTCCAGTATTAGATGATTCATCAGGAGAAGAAAAATTCAGAAGTTTTAAGCTTCATGACATTTTATTTTCACGTTGAATTTTCAGAGTATAAGTAACTTGGAAATCTTATCTCAATCTGCATAATATTGTCAAAGTTTTGGGTGATAAATCCTTTGCAGAATTAGACTGTAGGCATTCTGGGTCAGTGTATGAAGTTATAATAGATGCTAAGATTTGAACAAAAATTAAATATATTACCACAGATAATGTGATCAGCAATTGGCAGTTATCTGAGGAAGTACTGAGGGAACTCAAAGAGTGGGTTGTGAGTTGAAGTAGTTGTGGGTTGTGAAGCGGTAGTCTAGAACAAGAAAAGACCAAAAATTAGATTTCATTTGTGAATTCAGATTTGTGTTTATGTCAGGAAATATCCTTATGCCAGCAGCTTTCTAAAGCTCCCACCTGAATAAAATGGAAGCAACATTTAAAAAATTAAAAACATATTTTTTTTCTATAAAATTCTATATAGAAGAAAGTAATTTATCTTGGTAGTACATGTAAGAAATAGTTTTAAAAGCTATACTGACTGGCAAAAAAAAGGCAAGTGTTTTATAATATGATGATACAAAGAAAAAAAAGAGAAATTAATGGGAGTCATTAACTATTCTCAGTGAACATATTTCTCCCTTAAATGCTGGAGTTTAAAAGTTATTTTTTAGATGATAAGTTATTATCTAGATCAGTGTTTCTTAAACTTATGGTGCACAGAGGAAGCACCTGGGCATCTTGTTCGAGTGCAGGTCCTGATGCATGTGGGGTGGGATCTGAGATTCTTTGCTTTGAGTAAGCTTCTAGGTGGTGCAGATGCTTGCACTTTACACCACACTTTGAGTAGGATCTAGATCCACCTTTACTGAACCTACAACCCATCAATCTCTCAAAGCATGCGTATTAAGAAATACCTGCTTTTACAAGAAGAACATATATTTGGAGGGTTTCTGAAACCAGAAGAAAAGCCGGTAAGTTTTAAAATACAGAAAATTGTAGTTCCAACTTTAGCAGTCCATTTTTACCATCAGGCTGTTATATAAAATAGGTGAGTAGGGAAGATTAAAAATGATCTGTTTCTAAGTATTCATGTTAAGTGTGGGGCTTAATCAGAAAGGCCTAATGGAGATCTCGGGGAAAGGATGTGTATGTGGAGGGGTTGGTGTTAAGGTGCGGAATGATCAAAGATGGGAAAAATAAGCAAAGGAAGGGTGACAAGATAAAAGGACTGTCCAGTGGATAGAGGAGAATAGAGAAGAGAGGGCATTCGGCAACAGGCAGGGTGGATTGACCTGGTTAGATTTGCAGATGAAAATGGGAGTTGAGAGTGAAAAACTAGTAAGTTTAAAAATCTAGCACTCTACAGATATCACTTCCACATTCTACCAAAAATAGGAGACTTGTAAGTTAAAATAATTTCTCTGAAATCCTGGAGAAATAATCCTAATATACATCCATATATATGTATATATGCATATGTAGATCTATGTCTGTATTAAATTCTAAATTTCCATCAGTGAAGTCATCAGGGAATAATTTTTAGTTTATATATTTTCCAAGTATCATTAGAAGAGACTCAGTAAATAGGTCATTAATATGACCATCAGATTTAGGATTTTGAAACCCCAGAAAACAATAAAATATGAGGAATAATTTAAGCTTTATAAAAATGTCATGATTACCAAAAGTGCATAACCTGAATCTAACCATGACACAAACTGAAATTAGGCCACAGTTTATAAAATAATTGGTTTATTCACTTTAAAAATGCCAATGTGATGAGACTCAGGAAAACACACGTGTGTGCACATGTGCACATGTGTATGCGCGAACACGCACACACACACACACCCGTTAAGAACTGTTCCAGGTGAAAGGAAACTAATGAAATGTGATAAACTGGACATACTTCGTGATAGTGGATTTTGTATTGTTAGAAAAGAAGACATCATTATGGCAAATCGGTGCATCCTGAATAATGTCTGTAGATTAGATCATAGCATTGAATCAGTGTTTAGCGCCTGACTTTGACAATAGTACTGTGCTGTTTAAGAGAATTCCTTGCTTTTAGGAAATGCACACTCATATAATGAGGGGAAGAGGCATCATGCCTACAACCTACTTTCAACTCTTATGCTGTTTGGTTTAATCACATGCGTGTGCCTGTGTTTACACATAGTTTTCATGTATTTATATAAAATACATGTGTTTATATAACAAAAAACAAAAGTTCCTTAAGTTGTTTTTTTTTTTTAATTTCTTTTTTTTTTTTTTTTTTGAGACTGAGTTTCGCTGTTGTTACCCAGACTGGAGTGCAGTGGCACGATCTCGGCTCACCGCAACCTCTGCCTTCTGGGTTCAAGCAATTCTCCTGCCTTAGCCTCCCGAGCAGATGGGACTACACACGCGCACCACCATGCCCAGCTAATTTTTGTCATTTTTAGTAGAGATGGGGTTTCACCTTGTTGACCAGGATGGTCTTGATCTCTTGACCTCGTGATCCACCTGCCTCGGCCTCCCAAAGTGCTGGGATCATAGGCGTGAGCCACCGCGCCCGGCCTAAAAATTCCTTAAGTTTTTATAACTGCATTGAAAATGGTAGGAAATGAGGTAAATATTAGAGGGAATTTTAAGAGCAGGATATAGGTTAAGCATTTTGACAGGTATAACTTGACTTCTGTTCTTCTATCACCAATCTCCATACACCAAGGAATAAAAGGTTTTCAATATAACTGCAAATTGTAAAGTGAAAACAAGGACATACTATGTTAGAAATAATGGCAACTGGTACCTGTTAACTCAAGTCATCTCATGTATCTATGTTCATATTGAAAAGGCAACAGTCTTAATATCATCTAGTTCACTAGTATGCAATAAATCAGTTTGGAACTTTACCCAGGATAAATTATGTGACATTTATGTTTGCATATGTTTTAGTTAAAGTGAAAATAAGCAAAAAATCTAAATTGAAGGTAAAAGCAAGAGGCAACTTGGTTTTTAAGGAAATGATGGATAGGATCTGATAGTGCAACAATCTTTGAGAAAGAGATATGAGATCACTGGGGAGGGGCTGCCTAATAGAAATGCAGGCTTCTAAATTCTAATTGTTGGAGAATATTGCTCCTGAGCTCTCCTTCTATTGAATAAAATATACTCTTTGGGGGTAAAACTGTGTAAATGGGATTGGCTATATTGTAATTAACAAGCGAGAATGAGAAGAACGAATCACTTATACTCTCAAAGCTCATACTTACAAAGAGAAAACAGGCACCAATCATTGCTGCTTTGACTCTTACATCTAGATCTGCAGGAACATGAATTCCAAAATTGTCAGCATTTGTGAAGACATTATTTACAAATCCTGACCAGTACTTTGAAATCTTCCCAATTGTAAGCTTTTCATTAACAGTTTTCACCTTTAAAAAGAAAATAAGAAGTATTACATTTGAAAGTGAAAAAGTTGGTTTTACACTTCTAAGGGTGTTTACTTCATGAGAGATTTGAATTATTTCATTTGTTATCTCCAAGTGACAAGTCTGTGTTACTCATTCTATCATGTAAGCATAGGTTTGTAAATTTAGTTTTTCAGTTCAGTTTTTAGAAATTTTGCTCTTTTGAAAATTTTCTAATCCATCATAATTCTTTTTCTTTTTTGTATACAGATGGAGAATACTATCATAATAAATAATTAAGGCTCAACCACCACAAGATGGCAGCAGGTACATAGTTCAATTGTATGAGCTGAGCATGAAGGCAATTCCTTTACCTGAGGCCCAGATTTTAAACCTGAATTTTCCATCTTAGAAATATAAAAGATATGTTTAAAAAATATTTCAGAAGAAATGAAATTAATTTCTAGGAATAATTTGTAAACTTTCACATTCTAGTTGCTAAGATTTTATAATTATTGAAACATTTAAATATTAGCCATTGTTAAATCACATATTTATATTATACTCAGACATTTATTATGTCATTCCTTTCTAACGAATCCTAAATCCTATTTTTACATTAAAAAAAAAATCCTCCTGGCTAATGTATCACATGGAAGTTAAGATCACCTTGACATCAAAGTCTAGTCTTTCTCAGCTAGAAGGAGTTTACAATTCAACTTTGTCAGCTATTTGTTTGTTTACTCTGCTTCTTACCCGAATGCTGAAAGCAATTCAAGAAAAACTATCACTTTTAGCAAGGAAGTAAAAGATAGAGAATAGAGAGGGTTACTTAAGACATATCTACAGCATGATGGCTAAAACACTTATGTTTAAAGTCCTCTTCAATCATATTACTCTTAGGAAAGTCATGACAAATCCTTTGATAATAGGGTGAAGTTAGAACAGCTCAGTTTGCAAAATTTGTTTGTATTTCATATGAACAGTGTTTCCTGAAGTCCTGAAAACTGAATGTCCTTGCTGACATATATATGTATGTATGAATGAAAAATAAATATATGCTTTCAATTAGGCTGTCTTGGTCTACCTAAGATGTATATATAGGAAAATCTGTTAAGATAGTTTTTATTGCTACAGATTGAATTTGCAACTATTTTTTTAAATATTCAATTTATACAAATATGAGAGTAAGGTTTTCTTTACAAAGCTAACTTAGCAAGTCTTAGAAACATGGCTTTTGAATTATTGCTGTTTTAATGCAATGTGGCTGAAATGAGAACTAAACTGGGATATGTGATCACAAGGGCTATAGAAAAAAATGCACAATTTAGGTGATTCTAAACTATATACGTTTGCTTTATGCCATGTGTCCTGTAATTCTACATAAATCATACACACTGAAAACAGAATAATGTGCTAGTTTTCAAAATCAGAAAATATTGGTTATCTTAAAAAGGCAAAGCTATGTGTACAAAAAATTTTGATGTTCAAAGTCTTGGACATATTAAAATAACAACACACTTACTGTTCTAAGCAAAGAGATATAGTAGCTTTGCCCATAAAACAAATAGAATTGTATTTAGCTAAATATACTTCCATTATATTCAATTTATTAAAATTACTTTGAATAATACTTATGACTGCTCTATGACAGATATGATGGCCAAGGTGATATATTTTTGTATTATTATTTTTTAAATGTTCTTGGACTTGGTATCTCTGGATTTAAAAATTCCTATTCTTAGCATGTACAAATTATATTATATCACAAATATGTTATTTTCTAAACTTACTTGAGATGAAATTAATTTGAACATTTAAAAAACTGAATTATGTTGCAAAAAAAATCAGGACCTAAATGAAAACTCTTTTTATTTTGTCAATTGTACCTCAAAATCCACATCGCCAAAACAGCCACATGTTGCACAAGGACCAACAATTTTCAAAATATCTTCTTTGTTTGCATTTTGGATTGTGAATTTAGGCAGAAAGGGGTCCCACTTCTGTGCAACATAACCAACTATTGTACCAGGAGGGGCTTGGATTTCTAACTGTAAAAAGAAAAAATAGTAAAATAAGATTTTCTTAGGTTATTATATTTTAATTTTACTATAATGTCAATTTACCTGTAAACAATATTCAGTTGTGAAATTATTTTGATATTCTACAAATTATTCTAAATATCTGCTTCTAAGGATACAAAGCAGTGGGGTTTTATAAATATTTTACAGAAAGCAAAGAAATTCACTGCATATATATGCTAAACATATATGTTTAGCACTGTGCACTAAAAGTCTGTGTCTTACTTCCCTAAAGATAATCTGCCCCAGGACTATCTGCTGACCCTGGGACGGTGGCTTCTTTGCCATTTTATTCCAGGTACAAGAGTTGGTGAACCACTGAAGCTGTTCGTATAAAGTAACTTACATCTACTCCTTCTAGTTGTAGCCACAACACACATCTATTTAAGCCTTCTTTATCAATTATTGCATATTCATACTTTTTTCTTTCAGACTATCTGTTTTTTATTAAAAACAAATGCTTCTTGCAGATTATAATCACTTAACTCCAATTTGATTGCTGGTTCATGTCTTCTGAAGTGTTAAAGACTAGTAGTTGAATTTTTGCATTATCAGGCATTACTTTAGTATTTGACTCTGTTATCTTTACATATTTATGTAACCCAATAAAATATTTTGTAAAATAAATTGGGGGTGGGTACAAATTTTTTAAATGTTTGCTTTTAAACCAAGCCATCTCTCCATTATTGGATCTCATTTTGACTTTTCTTATTAAGTTCATTGTCTTATGCATATGTCTATAATGTTCTTGGATAGATAAAAGTGATTTCAACTAGACTGCTTAGAATTAATATGGATCTGTTCTGGGATCACTTTTAAAGTTACTAATTTGCTTTTGACCAAATTTTTAAAAAGTTACTAATAGGTATCAAGATATATATTATGTTTAATTTATGACACTGGACTACTAAAGAAAACAATTATCAGAAATGTTTAAATGGGCATATTTCTGTGATCATAATGACTACACTATCTTGAGGCATATTAATATTAAATATCCTCATTAGACAGATGGAAATTCTTGGGCTCCGTGCATGAGCACTTCAGTCATCTTATCAATTAGCCAGATGCTTGCCTAAACATAGTTGAAGAATTGGCTTTGATATATGTTATTAGAAACTTCCCTAAATAACTATCTTACATATTAATATTTTCTTATCATCCTAAGGCCAGTACTTATCCACAGGTTCTAACAGAGAAGGTTGGGCTTAAATTAGTACACCTGGATCTTAAATTAGTACACCTGGATCAAGTCCTACCTATGATATTTCCTGATTTCTTGAATGTGTAGTCATAGGCTAGCCACCTCCATTCTCCTTCCTTGACTGCAAAATATAGAGAGTAATTATTTCTAGTTCAGAGAGATGTCATGATTCTATTCTTGCTCATGAATAGAATGTTATGGTATCAAAGCCAGTAAAGTAAGTAAAAGTTCTGTGCCAATTTAACTGCATATATCAATGAAAGTTATTATTACAGCTCTACTAAATAATAGTGTAATTCTATTACATATTAAAATAAAATAATTGAATTATTCCCTCTAGAACAATACCTGTTTATGACAAAACCTTGGGCTTTGTCATAAACAGGTAAATGCAATGTGAGATTCCATACTAAATAATGATACCTAACCAAGAGAACACCTTAGAGGAGTTTAATATCACTTAGCATTTCCTGGACTTTGCTCCAGTTAGAAAAGACAAAGGTATACATGCCCAATGGTGGAACATGTAGACATTACAATTACATGACTACCATAGAGATTCCAGAGGTGTATCTCATATACATGATGCATGAGCTGTCCTCACCAGTTTATATCATGAAAACCACCATAGTTTTTGGTTGGAAAGGAAAAAGGTTTAGTGAATCACCAGATCCTCAAGCTGATCTGTCCCTAAAGGAACAACATACTATTAATAATTAAAACAATTGACAGGTTGATTGCCCCCCTGCTCCAGATGAATTCCTCTAAAAGAAACAAGTGCTAATCTTAAAAAACAAAAAAGACATCCAGAGCCGGTAACAAACCTCTTGTAGGTAGCAAGGGCACCAGCAGCTGTTGCATCTCAAGGGCCTGTTCACTGTAATGACCTCTCGACCTGAGTTATCTGTGATCCTCAGGGTGCAAGATCGCAGAGTGGAACAGAAAGTACGATTGAAGCAGATGCTTTCCTCCACTGCGAAGTAAATTCTTTGTCCTAAGTTGTTTTTAATCTCATATTTGTTGGAGGTCTCGGTACCAAGTATCACTGACGGAGCAAAAAAAAAAAAAATTCATAAAAACAATTTTTTTAGTTAGTATTGATAACTTTAAATGAAGGGAAGATGTTATTAAAATAATACAATGATCAATTGTTAAGTATATAGTATCTTCTTCACACAAATTTATTTCTATGCCCTAAATTTTTAAGACTTAGCCATAGAAATCAAAGTAAATGGTGAGAATGAAGCTATATAATTAATTAATGTTTATTCCAGATATATGACCTATTTGAGAACATAGAGTATACATGTTTAACTAAAGGACAAAACCTATAAAGAATAATTTATAACTCAAAAATAATTATATTATTGTTATGGAACTCATGGTGATATTGGAAGCACTCATGGTGCTATTGGGAGCACTCATGGTGATAAGAGTGATTTTATCTTATTTGTCTGGCAATATATCTAAAGTTGTATGCTATCGTGGTATTTCAATTTTTACATATTTTTAGGAAAATATAGAGCAACAAAAATAGAAAATACTTAAGTAATTTGAATCCAGTTAGTCATGCTTGTAAATTTGTAGGTTCTTAAATAATTTGCCTATTTGGTAAATCACTGATAAAATGATAAAGCTGTAACATTTTGTTTTGATGAATTTTTGTTATTTAATTAAAACTTTGACTTCCATTTGTGAAATTATTAAGAAAAATAAATAATTAGCATTCATGGAAATGATCAAATACCTTTTACTATTTTAAAGTAGATGTAACAGAATTTGAATGGCTTCTACTTTTATCTACATAAGACTAATAATTTTACTTTCAGCTTCTTATTAAAAAACAACTAGTACTCTTTTTGATCTAATTCTATTCTACACATTTAACTTTATTGTGTACAACATATTTAGATGTAAAGAAACTTCTGAAAACTAGAATACTTTCAACAGTTTTAATCAATACAGAAAATAATGCACTTACTTCCAAGCAGCTCCACCTGCTGGTGTATAATAATCAGGTCTAACTGTAAAGGATAACACAAAGGAAATAAAAAGTATTCCATCACAATACGTCCAAAGCCTTTGGAGATACTACTATTATCCTACTTACTATATTAATAAAATTAGGCTATTTCCATGCTTTTTATTAGAAAAATGTTTGAAAATATCTCACATTTTATAATACAAAATAATGTGAAATATTTTTTATTTAAGTAAAAATTTAGAAGAACCCTGAAAATTCCAAGGCGGAATTGAGCAAGAATAAGAATAGGAACAGGGTTAGGCACAGTGGCTCATGCCTATAAATCCAAAACTTTTGGAGGTCAGAATAGGCGAATTGCTTGAGCCCAGGAATTTCAGACCAGCCTGGGCAAAATGGCTAACCCTGTCTTTACAGAAAATACAAAAATTAGCCAGGTGTGGTGGCATGTGCCTCTCGTCCCAGCTGCACTGGAGGGAGAGGGAGGTGGGAGGACCACTTGATTCCTGGACGTCAAGACTGCGGTGAACCACGAGCCTGTACACTCCAGCCTGGTCCCCAGAGGGAGATCCTGTCTCAAAAGAAAAAAAAAAAAAAAAAAAAAAGAGAGACGGGAGCAGAATTAAGTCCTGTTAACTCTGTGATAATAAAAAATTAGAGTAGATCTTGGAAACAGGAGATTGTGAAGATTTTTAAACAATCTCTGAATTATAATGCTTAAGATGTTTTAAAACTCAGTTTTCTTTTGTTTTTTAAGACATGAAACAACACGATAATGATTTGAATGTCTGGCCTTGCCTCTTAACCTCTGCCTACCTCTACTCTCACTCTGTCAAACTACAACTCATTTCTCTCAGTGATAGAATATATTTGTTAAATCCAAAAGTTTATTGTAAACATGTTTCTTTCATTCACACTTTCAACTTGGACTAAAAAACAAACAAACAAAAAGTAAAAATCCTGCTGATGCCAACAAAATACCAATTTAAGTCAAATACATGTTATGGCACTAAATACATTACAAAATTTGCCTTAGGTCATTAAAAGTAAAGTTAATTTATAGAGATAAAGTATCCTCAGATAGCTGAGAAATAACTTAAATTTAAAAGTCTATAATGCAAATTGCTTTTTAAAGAAAATATGAAGGTTATGTTTTATAAATAAATTTATTTGTGTTTGTTTTATTATTATTTTTATTTTTTGAGAGAGAGTCCAACTCTGTGGTCCAGGCTGGAGTGCAGTGGCAGGATCTTGGCTCACCGCAATCTCCACCTCCTGGGTTCAAGCAATTCTTGTGCCTCAGCCACCCGAGCAGTTGGGATTACAGGCATTTACCACCACACTCGACTAATTTTTGGATTTTTAGTAGAGAGACAGGGTTTCGCCAGGTTGGCCAGGCTGGTCTCAAACTCCTGGCCTCAAGTGATCCACCCACCTCAGCCTCTCAAATTGCTGGCATTACAGGTGTGAGCCACTGTGCCTGGCCTATTTGTGTTTATTTTAAATCTAATATTCTGTATTTGAAGATCCAATAATGCAAAAGCATGAACACTGAATATGCTGCTGATCATTGTATTTTCTAATGCTTCATTTTTCATCTCACCTTAAACTTTTCTTCACCATTCACATTATAAAACTCACCACTATTAAACTGGCCAGTCATTACTAAACTTTGGTATTGATTGGAGATCACAATCTCAGGTAATTTGAAGCTACATTATTTCCCTCATTCTCCCTGTATGTCCTAAGGTGGCGGTAAAACTAATATCATTTTCTCTATTTAAATCTTATTATTGATAAAATGATATGTATGGCCTATTTTTTTAAGTTTCACAAAAAATATCTTTCCAAAAATAATTTATGATCTAAGAAACCCTAAAACCTAACTTAACAATAATTAAAAAGTTTTTATTAGGGAAAAAAAAACTAGACTAAGTCTTTAGTAGTGTACTATAATTAGTTCTGTTCTCTTTTGGGGAAAATGGAGTGGTAAGCCTCAACAAGGATCTACATGATTATTTAGCAGTAGATCTGTGCACAAGTAACTTAGAAATGGATATCTGTGGGGTCAAGAATAAAGTGGGAGTTTAGGCACTTTGAATACTGATGTCATAAATCAAGTTTTATTGTTGAAATTTAGAAACTATTAATTGAAATCTGCCTGACAATGAAAAAGGTGGATTTAATATCCAACAATAGCAGTTTTTTTAATTGAATAACTACCGTAAGATAGTCACTGTGCTAGATGTTTAGACAGTCTCTGATTTAATCCTCACAAAAACTAGGAGAGATAGATGTCATTAATTTTAAATGTGAGGAAACAAGCCCAGAGAGATTAAGTAATTTGCCCACGATCACAGAGCTTGTAAATGGCCATCAATTCGGACATGTGTTCTACTCTGTTTCTTTACTGACATCACTACGCTAAATTTAGCGGAAACAAATCTTAAGTGACAATATGGAACTTCAGTACCCTTTCTATTTCCATTACTCTTACACCCTCCCCACCCTTTGTAATAACATTTGATTTGCTCTCTCTGTGAAAATGTCCCCTGGATTTAAGGGAGTTGTTTTTGGTTGTTCTTGTCACTTTCTTTAAAAATCACTTAGCTACTTATAAACCATAGCCCAAAGGGGCATTTTCCATTCTTTTCCTATTGATTGATAGACTAGGAACTTTGGAAACTTTAAACAGATTGAATTATACATTTAGGTGTCACGGCAAGTAAAACTTAACTCCTTAAGTATAAAAGCTGTAGAAATGAAAATACAATGGTAGGGTTAGATGAATGGCTTAAGAATTAATTCTTTTTTTTTTAAATCAAGTTGACAGGTATCCGTGATTCAGGTTGATACATGAATTTCAAAGTAAATTGTATTTTAAAACATACAAAGTCTATAAAACATACAAAGTTTTGTAGACTTTAACTCATTACTCTTATCTGTAGGTGACTAAATTATAATAATTATTCTTTGATGCTATACAGTAAAATGTTATTGACTGTATGAACATGTAAACCCAAAAGAATCTATTGATTTTATTCTTAGATTTAATATTCATTATATAGTTAAACACTCATATATGTATATTTTCAAGCTGTTCTTGGAAATAAGATTTTCAATACTAATTGGATGGACTTGATTAAAAGAGAGTAGATAATTTTAAAATATTTCATTTCAATTTTTTAATTTAGAAAGATATTTATTGTATATTTCCTGTTTATTCATTGATTAATGTGCTATTTCCAAATGTTCATTAGTTTATTTGATTTTTGTGGCTTTTAGAGAAAAGTTAGCATCTAAAAATTCATTTTATATTGTGCCTCTTCCAGACTCATGGCATAACACTTTGGAAATCCTCATTCATCCTCTTATATGTGCATTGCTTTAAAATAAATAAAAAAGTTCCTCTTAGTATAAAGTGAGTAAATTATCTTTCCCTTTAGAAGTATGCCACCAATTCAACAATTGGTGGCATATTTTTCTTTTCTAGGAAAGGTTAGCAAAGGTATATTTTTGGAAAATTTATTCCATTTTAGAACCCAAGCCAATGGGCTCATATCTCTATTGAATGTAACAAAAATGTATTTATGTCAAGCATCTGGCTCCGGGTGTGTCATCATTCATGAATGGAAGAAGAATATGTGATGACCATATGTGATCATCAAACCTCAGCCCTCTGGCACTGGTATATCACTTTTATACTTGGCAAAACCTTGTCTGACAACATTTCCAAACAGCTTGCAGCAGTTCATCAACTCTAGTCAGCTATTACAGCTGATCCTTTCTGCAGATGGAAGATGGTAGGTTCGCATTTCCAGCTCTTTTACATATCTCCCTGAGCTCTCCAGTCTCTAAAGTACATTTGTCTGCCAGTGGGTTTCTGGAGAAGGCATCTGCAATTATAAACATTTTCCCAGGAACATATGCTGCTTGCAGCTTAAACCCTATCAGGCATAACAGAAATCTCTTGTACCTTAAGGGAATTAACACAGAGATTTGATTTTGATAAAGGAGATAGACTTTATAGTTTGAAAGAATGCCAAACAAGCTGAAAATTGCAGCAGATGTGCTGACATCTCAATATTAGTGTAATTGTACTTCTAATCTTTTTTTAGGATAACATACAAAAGCAACAATACTATACATACATTAATAGCAATAGCTATTTATATGCCGTAAAATTCAGATAGCGATATTTTGATTGATTTATTATGAGGCTTGAATCCTGCCTACTCTACAATGACTAGAACAGGGACTATACCCTCTTTCAAGCAAATTGGCCTGGAGATGCACTGGTATCAGCAATGTCCGCTTTATAACTGCTTTCTCTTGGATTTGTGTCCTCTCTTTGAGATTCGGCTGAAGACAAACTCTCAGCACATTGCAGATGTCTCTCCCAAGTACTTTGAACCTTAACAACCTCTCTGTCTTCTATTCACCCGCACAAATTACAGTAGTGTGTTTACTGGTCATTTGTACACAGACTTGCACTTTACATGAACTTTTCCTTTTTTTGTCTTGCCGATTAGGTTGCAGAACTTTTGGGTGAGAGGGGCTAGGTTTCATGCTTTATATGTCTCGAGTGTAGCAAGTACTCAAAAAATATTCTTTAATTAAATAGCTGTAGGTGACTATAAATATTGGAAAATTTCTTTTCTTTTATTTATTTACGTATTTATTTTTCTTACCAACACAGAGTCTCACTCTGTCACCCAGGCTGGAGTGCAATGGTGCAATCACAGCTCATTGCAGCCTTGACCTTCCTGGGCTCAGGTGATCCTCTTACCTCAGCCTCCCTAGTAGCTGGGACCACAGGCAAATGTCATCATGCTCTGCTACTTTTTGTAGGGATGAGGTTTTGTCCTTTTTGTAGGGATGAGGTTTTGTCATATGGCCAGCCTGGTCTGGAACTCCTGGCTTATCCACATGCTTTGGCCTCCAAAAGTGCTGGGGTTATAGGTGAGAGCCACTGTGGCCTAGCGTATTAGACAATTTCTTGAGGACAAATTTGCTGATGCCTTGAACAATGAACAAGTGGATAAATGTGCTAAACAGCACTATCAAAAATATTTAGTCTCGTCATTCTGTCAAATAAATAGGGAGAATAAAAGTAGTAATAAAACACTTTTTAAGATAGTATAAATAAATAAAATTAATATTTTATAATTTTATGATTTATAATGGTTTTCTCATTTCAGTAAATTATTGGTTAAAGTCTTCAATCTTGATTGAAAATCCAGAAACGAAGTTTCTATTAACTTTAAGGGGAGAAAATATCTGTAGGAATAGAAAGATAAAAACACCTGGCTTAAATATTCTAGACCAGGAGGGAGACTGCCTGTTGGCAGGAAACTGTTTGGCAGAGGGAGACTCGGCTGCCATGCTTGGGCTGCTGAATTGGAAGATGAAGCAGGAAGGCTTTGGTCCAGGTCTGGAGCTCCAGGAAGAAAACGAGGCAGACCTCTTCTTTGGTTCTGGACATCTGCAAGAGAATGAAAATCTCAATCCATATTTAAATTTATGCCATTTTACTTAGTCCTGCCTAAAATATTTGTTACTTCTTTATTCCTGGGGTAGTTTATCTCCTGCTTCCTGCTGCCTCTCATTTTAATGACCTTCCTTTTCTTTATTTTCACTACTCACTGCCATTACCGCTTGACCTCTAAGTTAGAAAAAAAGAAATGCAGAAGACTGCATAGTAGTTGTGAGAAAAAGTTGAATTTAGTCAAGATAAATGACTTAAAAAAACCCTGCATATGTGTATATGTATGTGTGTGTATATATCTATCTATATATACACAATTACTCCAAATATATACTTACTGCATACATATTTATATGCATATGTAAATTATATATTATATACATATATGAAGCAAAATGTGGAGAGTAATTATTGATTGCTTTATACATATGTAAATTATATATTATGTAAGATATACATATAAATTGATGTTTCTTGCATATATATGCAGTAATATATTTCTATGTATTTGTATATATTTATATTTATATAGGTCTATATTTATATAATCAATAATAGTTTGAAGGTATGAATCCCTTTGTAGCTCACCCAATATTACAAAAGATAAAAGATATTATAATCCAATAATTCTATAAAGTTTGACTAAAATTTTTAGAGAAGACACCTGTTTTCTATATTATTGCCAGGTAAATAGGTTACAATTTTAATCATCTCTCATTCTGAAATTTGGGAGTTTGTTATTTACTTTGCATTGCTCTGTGTAATATTATGCATATCCCCTAATAAGGTGGTATATGCATAAGTCTTTTTGTTTAAAATATAAATGATAGCCTTTCTACTATTTTTTTCTTCTCACATAACTACTATTTGGATATCTCTCTCATTAGATACCATTTTTTTCAAAGAATATCAGCATTTTTACTACTCTTGTTTAGCAATCATTAAAGTCTTAGAGCTTTCACAAATGCATTCAGTTAGTTTATCAACATTATGCTGTTTTAGATTGAGTATAGATGTGAAGCAAGGTTTGTGATGGATATTTTCAAATATGAGAAGGGCCATTATGAAGACAAGTAATTCAGATTGTCCTAAAGACATATACAAGAGAAGGGCAATGAAATTGGTTCTGCACTGATAACAAGTAGGACATTTATAACAGCTACACAAGGATTTGAATAAGTACTGTCATTACTCACATACCAAAATTGAAGTGGAATCTATATAATTAGCAGCAAATTATAATGTTCTCACTTCAGCAATGACATTTAAATTTGTGAATGTGTGTGTTGGGGGTGGAGAAGTATCTTTATCTTTTAAATCTTTGAAATAGAAATTCTAAAACTGAATTGGGTTTCCTTTGGTGATAGTAAATTTTCTGTCATCAAGAAAACTCAAGGATATTCTGAATTCATTCATTTATTCATTTATTCATGAAGTAAATTCATTCATTTATTTATTTAACCTTAAGGTTGTAAGAGTAAACTGAGTTTATTATTATTAGCGTAGGCCCATTAAGTTTGTACTGGTCTGTGATATTTAGAATTTGAACATGCTTTATGGTGAGGACCAAATAGAATAACTGTCAAATGGCCCCATTAAAATAGAGCTTCCCGCTGATAATACTATAGCAGTTTGGCTTCCACAAGGACCCCCATCCTGAACTTCTCATACATCTGGGGCAGATACAAAAGATACAGGCTTTAGACCTCCCCTTGCTCTTGAGTAGGGTTCCTGAATTGGATCCTAAGCAGTAAACCTAGAGGAAGACTATGTAACACTATGTCAGATTTGGGAGAAGAGCTAATGGCCATTAATATAGCAATAACAACTCAAAAATATTAAAGGGCAATAAACATTGTTTCTTTAGCATTAGTGCCAAATGTACTGTTAACACTTTGAGAAAAACATAGAGGCAAAATTATGATCTAGAGAAAACTAGCATACAATGATAAAATTCAGAATAGTAGTCCATCTTGAAAAAGAGAGAATGCATGGCTATTGGCTAGAAAAAGAACTTCATAGAATATAGAAATGTCTATATCTTGACCTTGGTGGTAGTCATGAGTGTGTTCTTATTTTAAAAATCATGGAGCTTAGGTGCTCTTTATGCACTTCACTGAACACATTATCTCTCAATTAAAAACCATGTGTAGGGATCAGTAGCCAGTATAAGATTATTAGATTCTCTCTCATTGTCAACTTCATTGTTAAAGGGACTCACAGATTACCCCAATTTTATCTTATAAGTTATGTTTGCTATAACAAAATGCAGTAGGTTATTGAGGGTTTGGCAAGTACCTGTACATCCTCACTCAGGCCTGGAGGGCCTTAGGCTTCACAGCAGGTCCAGAGGCATTAATGCACTTAAGCCTCAGAGGATATTATGTCCAAAGTCTTTACTTAGGAGTAAAGCATAAGTGAATCTCTGCCTGAGATTGTTGAGAGTCATCACTACTCGGAGATCACTTGCCGCTTCTTCTGGGATTGTAGTTCACATTGAAGCAATCTTTGGACACAGCTCTTGTTCAGTTTAAAGCATCCTGTTTAAGAGCAACTTGCTCTCAAATGGTGTTAACTTATACTAAGCCAGGGGGCTCCAGACCACACAAATGTTTCTCCAGTTCTAATGGCATCTGGTATTTAGAATGTCTTTTGGTTTAGTAGTGCTGGTTGATCTGCCCATGAAATGTGTGAAATGTCCAATTAGTCTGCATTCACTGGGAAAATGCTAATTGCCAATATAGCTACTGGGCCAGAGAACATGATGTTATAAATAATGTCTTTAAATACAGTTGAAGAAAACGATCTACAAAAATGTTTTATGTAGATAATGGTGATAATCTGGCTTGCCCTCTTGAACAAGATACCTAATTTGAAAGAAAGCTTTGTTGTCACTTGTATTCTCTTAGATAGCATGGAGTCTCTCTAATAGATGTTTTATCCACTCCATGTGTTAAATATTTTGAGCTGGTTGCAGAAGGAGTGTTAGTTTTCCACCTGAAGTTTTCCTTCTAAGTTTAGACCTAAGTCTTTGTCATTATGGAGCATTACTGCTTTTTGGTAGATTAATCATATTTTGGCATAATATTACTTTCCAGTCACAAGTTTCTTCAGAGATTCAGACCAGCAGATGAAGAAGAAACTCCTTTGAATTTCTTACTGGCTTTGAATTTCTATCTACTCTTTTAAAAATGTATAACTAGCTTATAAATATTTTATACACTCTGCAACTCTTTACCTCACAGGCTACAGTATTGCTGTAACTCTTATTTTATAAAGTGCCGAAGTATTTTGGACTAAATGTTAGTGCCATTCTTAAATGAAAAGAAATACTTGTCAAGGTTTTTTATTTGCCTTCAGATAGAAATAAAAATGACATACCAAATTCGTGATTTCGCTATTTCACATCCATATTTTAGAATTTGTGTAAGCTTTCCCAGTGATTCTGGGGGACTGAGGGACTGGTCTACATTAAAGGTTGATAAAAAATGGAATGATTACCTCATTTGTTTCACCTTAAATAGTGTTCAAAAGTATGTTTTGATAAAGGAAGCAAGTAAGCATACACATTTCTTTGAATGAATCACTAATTTAGGATATTACAAATTGATGGACTCTATTATCCTGTTTGTAATTAATTTAAAAGGTTTCCACCAATTGTACTAATCATAATTCTTCATGGTAGCACTTTTCATTATAGTCTAGGCTTTAACAGTTCATTTTAACAATGAAACGAAAGCACATTATAATTTTATTTTGTTATACAGTTTCACAAATGTTTGTAGTAAGATTGCAACTTACTTTAAAAACAACTACACCTCTTGTCTTTCGGGAACTTCTTTAAAGTAAGGTAACAGTGATGACATTTCTGCAATTTTAGGGCTTTGAAAAAAACTCACCAGGCCTAATTCCCAAAGTGGTCTTCATGTTTAAATTAGATATTTTCTGTGTTTTGTCTTTAATTTACCATGAAGAAATTTTAAAATATTTTTGCTTTACAATTAATTCAGAAATATTTATTTCCAGCCCATCACATTTAAGAATCAATAACTCATGTAATATTATTTATAATAAATGGCTACATAACATAATTTTAATAACAGATGAGAAATTAAAACAGACAATGTAACTGGATTGTTTGTAACTCAAAAGATAAATGCTTGATGTGATGGATATCTCATTCCCCTTTATGCCCTTATTTCATATTTCATGCTTGTAATAAAACATCTCATGTATCCTGTAAGTATATATATCTACTATATACCCACATACATTTTTATAATTTCAATTTTTTTAAAGAACCACGAAATTGCACTTTAACACTTTCTAACTTATGTGTGAAAAATTTTCTTCAAATCCCTTTAAACTTAAAATATCACCCTGACCTGTGTTTAACATTAAAGATTCCCATTCTAAACTTTAATATGCAGCTTTACTTATTAATTCACTATGTTTATATTCATGATAACTAAAACATCGTTTACATCTGAACGTTTATAATCTATCAGATAGAGTGTTTTAAAATTTAATTCAACATGCTTCTTGGAGTTAAAATTTTAAAATCACAATGTTCAAAAGTGACAAAGGACAGCTTTTAAAGTACCAATCTCACTGGTCGTAACACATCCACAATTGTATATTTTTAGTCATAAGAAAAAAATTATTAGTTGGTTATATTTACTCTTACCTTTAGAGGCCATGAAGATGTCTGAGTCACTTCTTCAAAGGCTGCCAGGTTGGAAAACAAAGGCTTTACTTGTTGCAGCAAGAAGAGAAAACGCAGCATGCATAAAACTTCAGAAGGTGTTGGTCTCCTGTCAGCTTACATGTAACAGAGGAAAGGAGTGACTTACTGTTTCTAGACTTCTGGATTTTATCAGTTTGGACAACAGAGTGAGATGCAACTGTCACAAAAGTAAACACTGTTCAGAAACCATCATATAACTTTGGTGGCTGAAGGAATAATTTAAAAATATTAAAAACCAGAAAGGAAAGCATGCAACACTCATTTTAAGTGTCTTTTTTTTTTTTAAACCAAGTTGTTTTTATTTTTATATTTCTTAGAATATAGACATTTGCATTACTCTTATATCAGAAATATCCTGTATTTCTAATTTCTAGAAGTCTCCTTGCCAGATTCTGTCATAAGACATCCTATTATGTATAAATTTTGACAATTCTTTACATGTTGAAAATACTCGAACGTTATTATTTGTACTTTCTGTCGGATTTATCTCCATCCCTTCAACTCAAATCAAACAAGAAGAGGATATATTCCCTAAAATTGTATAAATAAATCTTTATTTTCCTTTTTAATTGAATTTGATTAATCAGAGGCATTGGAATATACAAACCTTCAATAGCCTTGTAAAGCGAATTGAAATTTACAGATGATATTTAACTGCGTTGAATACTTAGGAAAGAAAAGAAGTGCTATAACCTTGACTAGACAGCTCATGTTTCTAAAGGCAGCTGCCCAGGTGACCGTGGAGATATTGCTCACCATGTCAGTTGCCCTAGATGGTATAATTCACCAAGGTTGGACTTGCAGGATATATTGCATTATCAGCAACACTGCCTATTTCTGAAAATAGTTAAGAGACTTCAGGAGGTATAGCTGGTGATGAAAAATTATAAAGTCAACCTCACAGTTTGCAGACTGCCAGATGTCTGACTTTTCCTTATTGACAAAGAGGAGTGGTTTTGTTGTTGTTTTCTTAGTGCTTGGAGTTGAAAAATGTTACTATTATTTAAGTTGTTATTTTGCAGAAAAGATGTATAAATGTTATTAGTATTTTTACATTAAACTGTATGTTTCCTAGGTTTTTTAATGTTTGTCATGGGCATTTAGAAAATCTTTAATCCAAAAAATTAAGTTATTAACACTATCAAACTAGATATTTTGAATTGTGATCATAATTCACCAGTTAATTTTGACTGCTCTATACAGCACAAATTTTGGAATAAAAATTAAAACCTAGTGAATTAAACATATTTGTGAACTCTACAGGGATAACTATCCCTGTGATAAACATATCCCTGTGAACTCTACAGGGATAACTATCTATGACATGGACATGTGATGACAAGGGGAGGTGACTGATAAGAGCTTTTGATATTTAATCTGCACTGAGGGCTTTTCAGATCATTGAACCTGGTAAGGCTACTAGTGAGGTATAGTCAATGCCCCTTGCTTCCCCTGTGCACCCTCCCTGTCTTCCCAAAGACAATACCAATTGTTTTCGTATTTTTAAAATTTTTATTGTTTTTATCATTATCATACTTTAAGTTCTGGGGTACATGTGCAGAACATGCAGGTTTGTTACATAGGTATACATGTACCATGGTGGTTTGCTGCCTCCATCACCCTGTAATCTACATTAGTTATTTCTTCTAATGCTATCCCTTACCTATCCCCACAACCCCTCCTATCCCTCCCTTAGCCCTCCATCCCCCCAAAGCTACAATTGACTTTCTTCACCGAATTGGAAAAAAATCACCTTAGATTTCATATGGAACCAATAAAGAGCCCACATAGCCAAGAAAATCCTATGCAAAAAACAAAAAAACAAAAAACAAATCTGGAAACATCATGCCACCTGACTTAAAACTATACTACAAGGCTAGAGTAGTAGTGTGGTACTGGTACCAAAACAGAGATATAGACCAATGGGACAGAACAGAGGCCTCAGAAATAACACTACATATCTACAACCATCTGATCTCTGACAAACCTGACAAAAACAAGCAGTGGGGAAAGGATTCCCTATTTAATAAATGGTGTTGGGAAAACTGGCTAGCCATATGCAGAAAGCTGAAACTGGATCCCTTCTTTACACCTTATATAAAAATTAGGTCCAGATATTTTTTACTTTTTAAAGGCTTGTTGTTTGTCAACCTGAGATCTCCCTTTCCTTCATTCCTTTCTTTTTCTCAGCTTTTCTCAAGGAGAGGCTCACAAACTCTGTTTACTAGGATTCTCACATGTTTCAAGTGTCCTAATACTGTGTGTTCATGCAGCCAGGAGATGCTGCACAGCTGGTCTCTCTCCTTCTGCTATTGCTGTTGCCATTCAACTTCACCTTCATAGTACGCAGTGCTCTTCTCCTAACACCTGCTACCTTCCCAGAAGAACCAGGACAACCGTTTATTACTCAAGAAGATCACACCATCCTCCTGGCTCTGTGCTAAGAAGCCCTTGACCTTTTCAAGAAGCATCAGTTTCACTTTGCCACCAGGCTGCAGTTTTTCTGGCCCCCTCACTTGATTCCATGAAATAGAGCCAACCTGAGGTGGACATGTCTACTAGACAGAACTCAAGGCTTCAGATCACATTGAGAGCATTGCTGTAAAAAGTACATAAGTACCAGAAATCACAGGATCAGTGAGTTTGCCTCGTCCCAGGAAACTCCATATTGGTCATCGCTCTCTCCTGAGCCTCTGGTCTGCTGCTCTGCTGTATGGGCTTGCTCAATTACTCAGAATGATCTGCCTTTCTGGTCCTGATCCTTCTGAAACAAAAGGAACCTTTTATGTCCCCCCCCACCCCTTTTTTTATTTCCAGCCAAAAGGAACTGTAGACAAACTGCACCATAATCTCTGCACAATGCCCTTCTGCCCATGAACTATTTTCAGGACCTATCACAGCTCTTTCTGAAGGACTGTTCATTCAATATTATAGTGATGTTCAGAACTTTACTCATTGTTTAGTACTTAGTACTTGACTTACATCTTAATGTCTGAAAGACACACCAGAATGGTTTCTCTCAGTACAAAGTGAGAGAATGTCAATTAAATCTATATAGTGACAGAAAAGAAATGTTGCCTGTTATAAAACTAAACAAAACAAAGACTGTAATAAAGAGTATATTACTGTAAACTGCATATATAAACTGTAACCTACAAGATTATATCTTACTCCATTTTCCATTCTCTAGAATACAGTAATCTTATATCTGACTCCATTTTTTTCTAGAGAATGGAAAATGGAGTAAGATATAATCTTATAGGTATGGGACAGAACCAAGGACTGGATGAACTGGCTTTAGGAATACTATACTAGACAAATGATTATTCTGTCTCTGGCTTTACTATAAAATGTATGTATACATACATAAATATATAAACATATACATATATAATATACATATATGCAAATATATGGAGTGAAAGATAATTACTTGTTTTATTTTGAGTCATATAAATATTATTTTAGTTATAATTCTAAAACAAATTTTATTCACTTAATTTTTTAAAAAATTCATAATACATAAAATTACATTTATTTTAAACCACTGTATGTTATTTCATTTTATAAATATAATGAACATAATTTTTGGCCATTGCCCTTTTAATGAACCTTTAAATTATTTCCATCATGTAAAGCATTGTTCTTATGCACATGCGTAGCAGCCTTTTGAAGGTATTTATTCAGAAATAAAATGTCTGGTTTATGGAGTATGAAGAACTTAATTTTTACCAGATAGCACTGAATTGATCTTAAGGAACTTGTGCCAATTTACATTCCTAACATTAGTGGGTAAGAGCGCCTACTGCCACATATCCTTTCCAATACTGGCTTGGTCAGTATAGTAGAGGATGAACTAGAGGTGTTTCATTTATGTGGAGGTAACAGTAGAGGTCTTGATTACATTATAAACTGGGTAACATAAACACTTTGTGTGTATTTTGTTTATCTTATACTGCATCCTATAAAAATAATAGCACATTTTGTGAATAATTTGTTATAAAAGTGACTGTAGAGGTGGGAATTGGTGCATAACTGGACTATACTTCAGTAATAAATAGTTCCTTTCATTCAGTGATGCTACTGGAATTATCTGCTAAAATATGAATCCACGTAAGAATTCAATCATGTAGCACCTAAGGCACATATTTCTACACTTAAGTCTTACTATCCCTGGATTTATAATTTTTCATAGTAAAATTCACTGTGGAGCTAGACAATGCATGTATAAATAAATAAATAAATAATAAAAATAAAACAAATTTGGGAATATATTATTATAAATAGTTTTTCAGAGTCATGTAATTTATAACTACCATATTAAACCTGAAACACCCAGTTTCTTAATGTAAATTGGAGATTTCTTTTCTGTGAATGTGCTTTTCTCTTAGCCAGTTATTCACCCTTTGTAAACCTCCTATCAATGTGCATTTTTCAGTATCTTATTCAAACCTACCCTTTTTATGCAGTGCCTCATTAATTTATTCATTTAGCAAACACTTACTAACTTTTTACTGTGTACATGACATTGCCGAGCAGAGCAATATTTAGTGATGTGAACTCCACTCTGGGGACACGTACTTTAGTCAAGTATCATAATACAAAGATGCAACATTGCGATTTTTTAATTTTTTTAAGTTGTAAGTTAGTACCTCCAGAAAATAGTGACATAACTCATACTTTCTATAAAGCAAAGAAATTAGAATTAGTAATGTATCATTTAAATGAGAAATTCATTGTTTCACACATATGTGTTAGATTTTTCCTTAATCTGTTTCTTTAAAACAGGAAAGTAATAGCTATTAAGATATTCTTTCTTACATAATGAGGATAGTAAACTGGATCACCCTTCTTAGCTTCTAATAAGAGATAATTTTTAAAATCCCTTCTTTTTTTACTCAAACTGATATTGATCCAATATTCATTCTTTAGAATGTAAAAAAAAGAATCCAGGACACATGGTAGAATCTGTCTGAATGATAATTCTGGAGCAGATATATCTAGGTCTCCGTTCACCAAGATGACATGGAAAAAAACTTCTAATTTGGAGTTCTGTTCACAGACACAACATGGAACAAATGGTATTGCATTATTAGTATATTGTAAAGCCCCAGGCTGAAGCAAAAGTTTAGTTTATCTATAGAAGTTCTTTTAAAATTTTCAGTCTTATATATTTTCTTTGAGCGAGACTAGTGTCTTTGTCTTCCGGCATTTGCATCATTTATTATGCACAATATAAACTTTTTATAGTTCATAATGGTACTTTTCTCTAAAGTGTCTAAAAGAAGAGCAAATATTCTGAGAGGTTCTTGCATATAAACATTCTAGGCTATATTACAGGAAAACAAGATGGAAATTGCAAGCAGAAAACTGTCCTCTTCAGAGATATGAAATAGCAACGACTATTTATCTAGATATTCTTCAGAGTATATGTTTATGTATGTGTCTGAAAGAGAGATGAAGGGAGGGAAGAAGGAGAGAAGAGAATAAGTAGATGGAGGGAAGAATTAAGATGACATTAACAATCTTGAGACCTCAATTCTTTCTACCAAGAATTACTGTACTATTACCATTATTTAAATTATATTTACCTTTGCCTTTGTTCTTGCGCTTTGCTCAGTGTGGTCACTTTGTCTTCCCAACATCTGTCTGCATCTTCAGATATCACCAAAATACTGCATTGTGCCCTTTGGTAGCTGCAGCCGACAGCCCAGCAGTGCTCTGCATACAGCTGCCTTCATTGACAGCGGCCATATCATGCACAGCCAGTGCAGCTGCAATTCAGTGCCAGCTAGGGTATATAATTTGTCTGCAGCACATTTCCTTTGCATTTCCAGCAATGAAAATAAGCTTCTCTGAGATTGGATCCCTCAAGAGCAAAGTTTCCAAGAAATTGAGATAATTGTTATATTAAATATACATTAAATATATAGGCAAAACACATCAGAGTTAATTTATGCTTAATAGCGCATGTTTAGTGTTTACTTCTGGTGCTATTTATAGGCTAAATCACTGAGAAAATGTTACTGCATTTGAAGACATGCTTTGCTAAGCAGTGGCTAAAAGTGTGGGATGTGTCCTATACACCATGTGGAATCTTGTTTCCCTGAATGGAAGGTTAAAGTTTGGTGGAAAAAGGTCTGTTTGTGCTATTTGTGCATTTTTTTTTCTTGGTGTTGCCTAATGGAGAGAAGCTGCTAATGCAGGTCCTGGCCCATTATCTGCTTTCCTGAAAAGTTTGTTGAAAGAATGAATGTCACTCTCTGGCTTGAGTCTTCCTTCTTAACAATTTGGCTACATATAGGTACATATATATATATATCCTTTTTTTTTTTGAGATAGGGTCTTGCTCTGTTGCCTAGGCTGGAGTGCAGTGGCATGATCACAGCTCACTGCAGCCTCAAATTCCTGGGCACAAGTGACTCTCCCATCTCAGCCCTCTGAGTAGCTGGAACTACAAGTGCACACCACCATTCCCAGCTAATTTCACACGTGTGTGTGTATATATATATATATATATATATATATATTTTTTTTTTTTTTTGTAGAGATGGGGGTTTCACTATGTTTCTTAGGCTGGTCTCAAACTCTTCGGCTCAAGTGATTCTCCAGCCTCAGCCTCTCAAAGTGCTGGGATTACAGCATGAGCCACCTTGAGCTTTGAAAAATAGATAAAAACTATGGTTGTGTTTCTGACTTCAAATTATAGTCATGATTTGAATATATACACACACACACACTTGTGTGTGTATGCATGCAATTGCATTTTTGGTTGATATGACTAGAAATAATATAGACTGCTATAAATATTGGAAAACATGTGATTAAGACATTCTTCGCAAAATTAAATAATGATCAAATGAACATGGCAAAAGTTAGTCTTTGAGATTTTTAGCTAACCTCAGATTCATATTCCTACTGTAATTTGTTGACACACACAATTTTGTGAAATTTTTTACCACCTTTCTTTGAGGCAGAGTTTTCCTTTTGTTGCCCAGACAAGAGTGCAATGGCATGATCTTGGCTTGCTGCAACCTCTGCCTCCCAGGTTCAACCAATTATCCTGCCTCAGTGTAGCTACTTAGTCTCCTGAGTTGCTGGGATTAAGGGTGCCTGCCACCACACTCGGCTAATTTTTTTGTAATTTTAGTAGAGACAGGGTTTCACCATGTTGGCCAGGCTGGTCTCAAACTCCTGACCTCAGGTGATCTGTCTGCCTCAGCCTCCCAAAGTATTGGAATTACAGGTATGAGCCACTGCATGCGGCTGACCCATAGCTCTTAAGAGGGATCCATCAAATATCAATTCAAAAACATTTATTGAGTCTTTTGGAAGTACCATGTACTTTACTATGTTCTGAGGCCAAGAAGATCAATTAAAAAATGCAGTGAGGGGGGAGGACTCAAAATGGCGCTGTGAGAACAACCCAGGATTGAAGCTCTCGCTGGATGCGCGGAGAGGGTGAGTTGGGGACGCATTTCCAGACGGATCTTAGTTGCCCACAGAATGGGGAAATTCCCAGGCATAAAAGAGACGTGGGATGCCAGGCAGAGGTCTAGGCTGGTGTAGCCGGCAGCCGGGGCAGCTGCGGCCCACGCCGGAGTGCAGAGGTGCACCACAGCGCTCCATACAAAAGCGCACTGTTACGGGTGCCCTGTTGAACTGGAAAACTGATACCTGAGAGGGCTGAACTTGAGACTGAACGGGACTTGGACAGTGAGCCAGCCCAGGAAACCCCAGGGACACAGTGTTTGGGGTAGTGCAGTGCGACAAACAAAACGGCGATTCCAAACGCTCCTGGTGAGGAGGTTTTCTTAAAGCGCAGCTCCGTGGGGGAGGGGCGTCTGCCATTACCGAGGCAATCAGCCCCTACTGAGGTACACGCCTATTGCTGACGCAGCCTGCCATTACCGAGGCAACTTGGTACAACAGAGAGACTCCGCCGCAGGGCGTAGTCCGTGGCAACAGGGCGGAGACTGCAGCAGAAGGGCAGAGCCTGCAGCAACAGGGCGAACCTCACACCAGCAGGGCTGATCCTTGGCAGGCAAATAGTGACTAGACTGCCTCCTAGCTGGGCAGGACAGCAAGGTGGACACTAACAAGGAAAGCCCCAACCCCTCCCCAGACAGAGCATCTGAGAAAAAAAGGTTTTTTTTATGAGTTATGTTGCAGCAGAATTAAACATAGAGCCTAACAGCCCTGAATGAACAACAGAGCTCACAGCTCAGCACTTGTGCTCCTAAAAAGTACAGACTGTCTCCTCAAGCAGCTCCCTGACCCCTCTATATCAAAAAGACTGATATTTGGCAGGCATCATTCTGGGACAAAGATAGCAGAAAAAGAAACCAGTAGCATCCCTCGCTGTTCCGCAGCTGCTACAGGTGCACCCCAGAGAAGCAGGGCCTGGAGTGGACCTCAGCAGTTGTACAGCGAAGGGGCTAGACTGGTAGAAGGAAAACCAAGTAACAGAAATACTTCATTATCAACAATCTGGGTGTCCACTCAGAGACCCAATCGAAAAGTCAGCAACTACACAGACGACAGGTGGATAAATCCACAAAGATTGGAAGAAACCAGCACAAAAAGGAGGAAAACACCTGAAACCAGAACACCTCGCCTCCTAGAAAGGACCAAAACTCCTCACCAGCAAGGGAACAAAGCTGGATGGAGAATGACTGTGACGAAATGATGGAATTAGACTTTAGAAGGTGGATAATGAGAAACTTTTGTGAGCTAAAAGAGCATGTTTTAAATCAATGCAAAGAAACTAAGAACCTTGAAAAAATATTTGAGGAAATGACAACAAGAATGGATAACTTAGAGAGGAATATGAATGAATTAAAGGAGCTGAAAAACACAATACAAGAACTTCATGAAGCATGCACAAGTTTCAATAGCCGAATTGACCAAGCAGAAGAAAGAATATCAGAAGTCGAAGATCAACTCAATGAAATAAAACGAGAAACCAAGATCAGAGAAAAAAGCGCAAAAAGGAATGAACAAAGTCTCCAAGAAATGTGGGACTATGTGAAGAGACCTAACCTACGTTTGATAGGCGTACCAGAATGTGACGAAGAGAATGAATCCAAGCTGGAAAATACTCTTCAGGACATTATCCAGGAAAATTTCCCCCACCTAGCAAGACAGGCCAATACTCAATTGCAGGAAATACAGAGAACACCACAAAGATATTCCACAAGAATAGCAACCCCAAGGCACATAATCGTCAGATTCAACAAGGTTCAAATAAAAAAGAAAATACTAAGGGCAGCCAGGGAGAAAGGTCGGGTCACCCACAAAGGGAAGCCCATCAGACTCACAGCAGATCTCTCAGCAGAAACTCTACAAGCCAGAAGAGAGTGGGGGCCAATATTCAACATCCTTAAAGAAAAGAACTTTCAACCCAGAATTTCATATCCAGCCAAACTGAGCTTCAGAAGTGAAGGAAAAATACAATCCTTTGCGAACAAGCAAGTACTCAGAGTTTTTGTCACCACCAGGCCTGCTTTACAAGAGCTCCTGAAAGAGGCACTACACATAGAAAGGAACAACCAGTACCAGCCATTCCAAAATCACACTAAATGCTAAAGAGCATCAACATAATGAAGAATCTACAACAACTAATGGGCAAAACAGCCAGCTAGCATCAAAATGGCAGTATCAAATTCACACATAACAATATTAACCCTAAATGTAAATGGACTAAATGCACCAATCAAAAGACACAGACTGGCAAATTGGATAAAAATCCAAAACCCATCAGTGTGCTGTATCCAGGAAACCCATCTCACATGCAAGGATACACAAAGGCTCAAAATAAAGGGATAGAGGAAGATTTACCAAGCAAATGGAGAGCAAAAGAAAGGAGGAGTTGCAATTCTCATCACTGATAAAATAGACTTTAAAGCAACAAAGATCAAAAGAGACAAAGAAGGCCATTACATAATGGTAAAAGGCTCGATACAACAAGAAGAGCTAACGATCCTAAACATATATGGACCCAATACAGGAGCACCCAGATATACAAGGCAAGTTCTTAATGCCTTAAAAAGAGACTTAGACTCCCACACAATAATAGTGGGAGACTTTAACACTCCACTGTCAATATTAGACAGATCAACCAGACAGAAAATCAACAAGGATATCCAGGGCTTGAACTCAGACCTGGAGCACGCAAACCTGATAGACATTTACAGAACTCTCCACCCCAAATCCACAGAATATACATTCTTCTCAGCACCACATCACACCTACTCTAAAATTGACCACATAATTGGAAGTAAAGCACTGCTCAGCAAACGCAAAACAACTGAAATCATAACAAACAGCCTCTCAGACCATAGTGCAATCAAGTTAGAACTCAGAATTCAGAAACCAACCCAGAACTGCACAGCTTCATGGAAACTGAACAACTGGCTCTTGAATGTTGACTGGATAAACAATGACATGAAGGCAGAAATAAAGTTCTTCGAAACCAATGAGAATGAAGACACAACATGCCAGAATCTCTGGGACACATTTAAAGCAGTCTCTAGAGGAAAGTATATAGCAATAAGTGCCCATATGAGGAGAATGGAGAGATCCAAAATTGACACCCTATCATCAAAATTGAAAGAGCTAGAGGAGCAAGATAAAAAAAAACTCAAAACCCAGCAGAAGACAAGAAATAACTAAGATCAGAGCTGAACTGAAGGAGACTGAGACACAAAAAACCCTCCAAAAATCAATAAATCCAAGAGCTGGTTTTTTGAAAAGACCAACAAAATAGACAGACCACTAGCCAGATTGATTAAAAAT